AGCGTTGAAGGACAAGTTGGCAGTATTCGAGTTAGAGCAAAGCCTTGGCCGAGAAGTCAACAAAGTGGACTGTTTGGAAGAGGAAGTACTTACAAAAGAACTGGACGACGAAGTGATGCGGATTGCCAAACCTGGATACGCTCAAGCACAAGACCCTCTGATCAAAGTAAACATTGGCAATGAAGGAGAAAATCACCCAACGTTCATCAGCCAGATGCTCGATCAAGAGGTTAGTAATAAATTAATCGCTTTGTTAAAAGAGTACAAAGATTGTTTTGCTTGGGAATATGAACAAATGCCTGTGCATTTTTTAAGACGCTTCATTTCTAACTGTGCAGGGCGAACTAAAGTTTTTTCGCCGCTATTAAAGCTGAAAAATCAGGACGAATTCATCTGGAAAGAAGAACATCAAAAGGCTTTTAAAAGCTTGAAGACATATCTATCAAGTCCACCAGTATTGGTGTCACCAATTCAGGGACGGCCAATGAAAGTGTATGTATCGGCTGAAAAGGAATCAATAGCTGGAATGGTCGCACAGGAAGCCCAATTTGGTGAAGAAAGGGCAATTTATTATTTGAGTAGACGGTTAACGAAATGTGAATATAATTACTCTGCTGTTGAAAAATTGTGTCTAGCACTGTATTTCACATGTACAAAATTAAGGGCTTATTAACGGCCCATAACCGTTTATTTAATTTCTAAGGTAAATTTAGTCAAATATATGTTCTCGCGCCCTATTTTATACCAAAGGGTAGGCCTTTGGACACTAGCTTTATCAGAGTTCGAAATACAATATATACCTCAAAAGGCAGTCAAAAATTAGGCTTTGGCTAACTTCCTAGCCAATCATCCATGCCTTGACATGCCTGGAGAAATCGAATTAGAAATCAACTCGTTCGGACTAAAACCTTGGGTATTGTATTTCGATGGGTCAAAGACCTCTAAAGGTGCAGGAGTAGGAGTAGCACTAATTAATCCTTTAGGGATTTGCTACAAATTCGCATTCACCTTAGACAGAATGTGCACCAACAATCAAGGCGAGTACGAGACCTTAATTGTAGGCCTAGAACTGATGATAGATATGGGAGTAAGAAACATGATCGTTAAGGACGATTCTCAATTGGTGATACATCAATTGATTGGTGATTTTAAATGCCAAAGTGATTCCATTATAAGTCAATATGAGATCGCCCAAGAATTATTAGAGAAATTCGATCAAGTAGAACTCAATGCGTTAGTAGGATATATAACGACGTGGCGAATGAGTTGGCCCAAATGGCTTCAGGGTACTCTAAAATCTTGGATTGGAAGTCTACTTGTGAATACGGAATCATATTGCCCGTAACTCAAAGAAGGGCGAGAAAAATTGAACTTCACTGTATACAAGATGGAGATGCAGTGGATTGGCGAACAGAGATTAAAGGGTTCCTTCAAGAACCTAATGGAGGGATTAGTAGGAAAACAAAGTTATGTTCGCTGAATTACACACTAATAGACGAAGAGTTATTTAAGAAACGCCCTGATGGTGTATTACTAAAGTGTGTAAGTTTGCAAGAAGCCAAGACGATCATGGCTGAAGTGCACGAAGGGATATGTGGAGCTCATCAAGCTGGCCAAAGGATGAGATGGTTAATTATTAGAAGTGGATATTTTTGGCCAAAGATGGGAGAACTATGCATTCAGTACGCAAAAAGTTGTTTAGCATGCCAAAAGCATGGTCCAATACAAAGGGCGCCAGCGCGAGAGATGGCACCTATTATTAAACATTGGCCGTTCAAAGGTTGGGCGATAGATCTAATAGAGAAGATCTACCCTCCATCGTCCAAGCAACATACTTTTGTTATAGTTGCAACCGACTATATCACTAAATGGGTAGAAGCGGTACCTTTAAAAGAGATCACCCAGAAGAATGTTATAGAGTTTATCCGCGATCACATTATTTATAGGTTTGGAATTCTACAAACTTTAATGGTAGATCACGGAACATCTTTGAATGGAGATCAAGTAAAAAAAATTTTGAGCGAGTTTGGGGTTAAACTAGTAAACTCCACACCGTACTACGCTCAATCCAACGGGCAAGCGGAATCTTCTAATAAGATTCTAAAAAATATCATCAGAAAGATGATAGAGGAAAACGCCAGAAATTGGCACGAATGTTTGAATAAGGCTTTATGGGCTTATAGAACATCACCTCGGTCAAGTACCAAAATTACTCCTTTCCAACTTGTTTATGGACAGGAGGCCGTTTTGCCTATGGAAATCAAGGTGCAATCAATTCGAGTGTGCTTACAACATAAGTTGAATGATGATGAGTATGCGGAATCACTAGTTCAAAATTTATTAAGTTTAGATGAATTGAAGTTGGACGTCTTGGATAGGTTGCAAGTTCAAAAGCAAAGAATGGCTAGATTTTATAATAAAAAAGTCATAGCCAAGTCGTTCAACCTGGGTGAACTAGTTTGGAAGACGATACTCCCTTTGGATACCAAGGATCCAAAGTACGGGAAGTGGTCGCCCAACTGGGAAGGACCATACAAAATAAACAATGTATTGCCTAATGGAGCATACCACTTGAAAGATTTAGATGGCACCAAGCACGTAAGATTCATTAATGGCAAATATTTGAAAAAATATGTTCCTTCTTTATGGGAATGCGAACAGATAAAAATATAACCAAACATTCTGGACGATCAAAAAATAATAAAGACAGAGCGAAATACGTTCAAATAAAGTTCTTTATTACCAAACGTTCATTACAAGAATATAAAAGATACAAGTAAAATGGCGTGTTTGGAGTTTATAAGGGTTTGCAAAGCGACGCACCTTTTCAGCCCAGATCGAACAGCCCAGAGAGTAAAGCCCAATTGGAGGATTCCCAAATCAGATAACCCAAAGAACGAAATCCAATTGAACGAATCAAGGTGAATGCCCAAATAAGGGGCCCAATAGTGCGGTAACGCCATCGCCCAAGTTTGCAAGTCGCTCAGAATCTGAACGAATAGAGTGGCATACGGTCGCCCAGAGTCTCGCCCAAATCTTCAAGTCGCCCAAGGTATCAACAAACATAACGCATTATGATTATCAAGAAATGCAGTTATTGAGGCAGTTGCTAAAATAACCTTATCACGTTCCACGACTCAAGGGGTTCAATCTAAAGCGGTTGAACGATGCAAGATAATGGCAGCAGTTAAAAGGACAGTTTCATGACAAAATGGCCACTACAAAGAAAGTGGATAGTTATAGGGCGATCAAGCAGTTTTTTAGAGCAGTTAATCACAAAGGGATCGCCTATGAAGTATAAAAGGGAGAAAGAACTTAGAAGCAAAAGACCGAATCCAAAACTCTCGAACAGAGAATATGTAATTTTCATTCCTTTAGCTTTTAGACTTCAACACTTCCTTTTCTGTAACTCGTGTGCTTGCGCCCCTTGGAGGCACGTTGTTTTCCGTTTCCAATTGTAAAGTTCATCGCCAATAAAAAGAACACCCATTTTTGGGACTTTGTCTCAAGAGGTTTCGTCCCTTACACAATCGTCTTATCCTCTTTAATTGTTAGCGAATTAACACGCGCGAAACAGGAACATTTACAAGTATGTGAACAACTTTATTTAGATAGTTACCCCTCAAGTACAACCATGTTTCTGGGAGTCTATTATTTCTGCAATAGTTCTTAACATCTAAATTTTGAAGTGGAGAAGAGTTGAATTACGTTTGCTTTCTTTTATTTTTTTTAATGGGAACCGATAAATTCAAGAAAATATACATCCCCATATATTGGAGGATTTTCTTTAGATAAAAGTTCTTTCATAGGGTTCATATGGTTTTAGGATTTGATCAACACTATAATCTGTCAGTACTTTTTTATATATTTTGTAAATACTGTTATTTAAATTTATACTGAGCAATCACTCACTGATTCGACCCATAAGCAACAGTTGAACCAATGATCCAACATGCCAAGTACGTTCATATTTCACTATCCTATTTGAGCTCTTTTCTGCTAGTCAATGATCCAACGCACCATTGTGTACAAACCACCTCTTTCGCTGCATATTATTCCGGTAAACGGCTGAATCATCTCGAGGTCCTCAACCACACTCCGTGGCTATCCCAGCCATCACGCACACTTCTCAAACGAAGATATCTCCTCTGATTTATGTAATTGAGGCCAAAATGGTAAACGGCTTCTTATAAACTCTCTTCCTTTTTTCCTTAAAGAAATTAACTTGTATTATTAGTATTTACTCTTATTTAAGCAGTCAATTAATTTTTAAGGTTGCACATTTTTGTTTCTAAAATAATCTAATCCTATTGCCCAATTTTAAAATAACGGATGATAATCTAGCCCCTATTTGATAATCATTATTTTTAAATTTTTTTCTTACTCATTTTTAATCATACGTTCACATAATAAGATATTCTGTATATAGCCTCCATTTGAGCCACATTATTATAAAAATGAGAATGAAAATTATAGTCGTTATGGTCCCACACGAGATAAAAAGTCATATTTTTCATTTTAATGAAAAAATAATGTGGCTCAAATAGGGCTATAATTTCAAAAGATTTTTTTTTATTTAGCCATACATAATACAATCTTCCAAAAATTACTATACAAAACTCTTATTTCTCAAATAATGATTGTCAATCATGATTTAATTTTAATTTTAAATATGTTAACCCAAATAATAAAATATAAATGTGCGAGGGGAAAGGATAATACTATTTATACATTTGTCAGTTGTACATATGAAAAGTTTAAATGTGGCACTGGTAGAGGGGAAATAGAAAAATGAAATGAAAAAAAAAAAGAAGATTGAGCACAGCCAAGAAACATTGTGTGAAGATCAGACACGTTGTGCGCAATTCGATTTTCCTAGTTCAGGGATCCATTCCTATCGCGGCGTATCAGGAATGGCGTCCGGAACTGCTCAAAGAGGTAAGCTTCCATCAATATTGATACACCCACCAAAATCCAACCGCCCAACTCAACTTCAAACCTCAAGCCCACTTGAAAAGTTCAAAAAAGGCTGTAAATCAAACACAAAAATTGACACCAATGATGCATTGGCCTCCTTTAATGACATGCTCCAAATGAAACCCTTGCCTTCCGACTCATCATTTAACAAATTGATAGGCGCCGTTGCTAAAACCAAGAATTATCAATATGTGATTTTTAAGCACCGTAGGATGGTTGAAGCTGATATATTACCTAATCATATTACGCCGAATGCTTTGCTGAACTCTTTATGCAACTTTAATAGGGTTGCTCTTGGTTTTTCTGTTATGAGTGGGATTTTGAAGAGGGGGTATGGTCCTGATATTATTACTTTTACTTCATTGATTAATGGTTTGTTCATGGAAGGTAAGATTAATGATGCAATTGAGTTGTTCAAGAAAATAATTGGGATGGGTTTCCAACCGAGTATCAAGACTTGGGGGACACTGATTAAGGGGTTGTGTAGGAGTGGAAATGCAGAGGTGGCGCTTTGCTTGTATAAACAAGATGGGAACGGGAATGGAGGAAGGTCTTATTTAATATTTAAGCCTGATTCGTGGTGTTATAACATGATTATTGATGGACTTTGTAAAAAGGGGTTGGTGGAGAAGGGTAAACAATTATTTTTGGAGATAAAGGGTAGAGGTATTATGCCAAGCTTGGTTACATATGGTAGCTTAATCCATGGTTTATGTCAGGGCGATGAGTGGGAGGAGGCAAAGCAGTTCTTCATTGAAATGGTGGATCAAGGCATTCGTCCTAACACAGTAATAGTTAATATCTTGCTACAATTTCTTTGTAACGAGGGGAAAACTGACGAAGCAATTGGATTGTTTAACTTGATGATTCAAAGGGGTGAAGAGCCGAATTGTTTTACATTTAATATATTGATGAACGGGCTCTGCTTGGAGGGTAGGATTGATGATGCAAGGGAGCTATTTGTTTTGATAGATGCTAAAGGCCATAAGGGAGATATTGTAAGTTACAATGTGTTAATTAATGGGTATTGCAAGTGTCAAAAATTGGAAGAGGCCATGAGGCTTTTCAAAGAAATGGCGCGCAAAGAATACAAGCCAGATGTAATTACATTCAACACTTTATTAACTGGTCTATTTCAAATAGGCAAAGTTGAGGATGCACGGGCACTTTTGGCAAAGATGAAAGTCCATGAAGTGATTCCGAGTTCTGATACTTATAATATAATATTGTATGGATTTTTGAAAAATAATTACCTCACAGAGGCAATGGGGCTGTTTCATACAATGGAAATATCCGGCCTTAATCTTGGCATTGACACCTATAATTATGCCCTTCATGGATTGTGTATGGCAGGAAATCTTGATTTGGCCAATGAGCTATTTGAGAAGTTGTCTCAAAAGGGCTTGAAACCAACAAATTTTACATATAACACCATGATCCATGCCTTTTCTAGATATGGAAACATGGAAGAGGCAAATAATCTGTTTATGAAGATGGAAAAGATAGGTTGTGCACCCTCTGTGGTCAATTTTAACACGCTCATACGAGGATTTTGCAGTCGTAGTGAGGCATCAAAAGTGGTTGAACTTCTTGTTAAAATGAAGGAGAGAAATATCTCCCCAGATAAAGACACAGTATCTTTAGTTCTAGATATTTTGTCCCAAGATCCAAATTATTCAAAATATTTAAGCTTAATTCCAAGATTTTCTTCCTAAGGCTCTAGAAAAGATGTAATGCAAATGAGTAGGCAACTAACATGAATTCTCACTGTTGACAATGCTTGCGATTTATGAGCATGTGAACCTATTGTTAAGATGCTTTCTTTAAATTTTCAGCATCAATGCCAGTAAAATCTTCTTCAATCCAGTGATATTTCTAGTGCAATCCTTCCCCGAGTATTTTGAAGACATAAACTTTTATGAATAGTCATCATTGAGATAAGTTAATGTGAGCTTTGATACTGTAAGATGAAGCCATAGTGGACTAATTTCCAGTTCACATTGGTAAAGCTGAAGCTGTTTGTTAATTTCTAACTCATGAGATTGAAACAATAAGGGAATTCCAAGAGATGCAGAAGGTACTGGAGGTAATATGCTTTATCTTCATCCATATCTTGGCTTGTGAATTAGTGCATTAAAGTTTTCTATTGTTGTAGTGAGACTAAATAATTGACTGGGTATTAAGACCCGTGAGTCATCTCCTGGAAGGTGTAACGTCTTTAATTGCAGTTATTCTTCGAGGAAGTCATTTAAGGAGATGGATCCAACCCTAATATAGTTTTTACACTCCTCATGTTTTTCTATCGTGATAGTGGTAATGCTAGCCAGTCTATGATTTGAATATTCAAATCTTAAAATTTTCATTTGAATGCTTAGTTAATCCATTTAATTCTTTTATGATGTGGGATGCTAGTTCGACAATCAAGTTACATCGTATAAATGATGCAGAATTAAATAATCCCAAGTTTGAGTATTGCTGAATTAAAGAGTTGGAGGTATGAATTCTTGAAACTGATTGGTATATTATTACATGCTTTCGGAAAAAATTCTGGAAAATTGTTATGGCTCAGTTGGGTGTTTTGAATTGTAGAAAATTCCACTTTATTTCTCAATGAATAATTACACCCTAATTACAACCTTATATAGTATACAAAATAGTTAAGAAAAGGAAAAAAAAAATTCCTAAATCAATAATAAAATCCCCTGCAATCTTCCATAGTTACAAGAATTATAATTTTTCTAAAAGATAGTGCTAATTAAGGATAGCGGAATATTTCCACATATCCGGGATTACAACACTCTCCTTCAAGTTGGATTGTAAATATTGATCATATCCAACTTGTGAGTAAGATCCTCGAATTTTGATCGAGGTAGGCCTTTGGTGAAGATGTCTGCAGCTTGCTTCTGTGTGGAAACATATATCATGCAAATAGTCCATTCTTCCACATTTTCTTTGATAAAGTGTCTTATCCACCTCAATATGTTTTGTCTGATTATGTTGAACTGGATTGAGAGATGTTGATAACAGCTTTGTCGTCATATTACAGTTTAATTGGTAACTTTATTGCAACATGTAGCTCATTTAGGAGTTTCTTCAACTACAATCCTTCACAAATTTCTTGTGCTGCTGCTCTAAACTCTGCTTCGGTACTGCTTCTGGCAACTACATTTTGTTTCTTACTTTTCCATGTTACTAGATTTCTCCATGCAAAGGTGCAGTATCCGGTACTTGATCTTCTATCTTCCATGGAACTTGCCCAGTCGTCATCTGTGAAGACTTCTACATCTTTCCTTTCACCTTTTCTGAAGAATAGTCCTTTCCTTGATGAACCCTTGAGATATCTAAGTATTTTATAGATGGCTTCGAGATGGACTTCCTTTGGAGAGTGCATTGTCAAGTCTAGTGTGTGACAAGTTCGTTAATTTACCTACTAGTCGTTGGTATCTGGCCGTGTCTACTGCACTGCCAGTATTCTTGATTTTATTCCCCACATCAACTGGTGTATCACTTGGATTGCATCCAAGCATTCCTATTTCGGCAAGGTCAAGAAAACTTTTTTTGTGAAACGCTAATGCCCCTTTTTGATCTGGCTATCTCCATTCCTAAAAAATATTGCATTTGTCTAAGATCTTTTACTTCGAATTCAGTGGCTAGTTTCTCCTTAAGTTTCTACATTTCAGCAGTGTTATCTCTTGTCAAGATCATGTCATCAACATATACAATTAAGATTGTCTTAGTCCCATCATCAAACTGTTGGAGGACACATAGTGTAATCTGATTGCCCTTGTTCGTATCCTAGTCTCTTCAGTACTTTTGCAAATCTATCAAACCATGCTCTAGGTGATTACTTTAGTACATACAATGACTTTTTAAGTTTGCATACCATATTCTCTTCGTTTACCTTGCAAAACTTGGCGGTATAGTAATGTAAACTTCTTCTTCCAGTTCTCCATTTAAAAAGACATTCTTAATGTCCAGTTGTTGGAAAGGTCAATCCAAGTTGCTGCTAACGACAAGAGTACTCGGATTGTATTCAATTTTGTCACTTGTGCAAATGTTTCTGTGTAGTCAACGCCATAGGTCTGAGTATATCCTTTTGCAACTAGCCAGGCTTTATACCGTTCCATTATTCCATCTGCTTTATACCTTAAGTTGAAGACCCATTTATACCCAACTGGTCTTTTTCCTATTAGCAAATTCGTTATCTCTCAGGTTTCACTTTTTTCCAACGCTCGCATTTCCTCTATTACTGCTTCTCTCCATTGTGGAATTCCCAAAGCTTCCTGAATTTCTATTGGAATTTTGGTACTATCAAGATGGGAGGTGAAACTTAGAAATTTTGTAGATAAAGCATTTTATGACATGAACTTTGAAATGGGACGAAGAGTACATGACCGAGTTTGTTTTTGAAGTGCGATGGGTAGATATTCTGGTTTATTTGTGGTGTCATGAGATTTTGTGATTTTCATTGGTTCCAACGGAACTGCCATTGGTTTCAACTCTCTTGGTGCTTCGGGTGTGAGATTCTCCTTATGCCTTTGTTTTGTTTTCCGTGAGTAAACAAGTATTTCCTTGCCACCTTTTTTTTCTGCATCTCTATGTAGATCTAAGTTTCCTTGTGTAAATGGCATAGAGGGACTAGGTGGTGTTTTGGATTCCAGAGGAAGAAGATCTAAGTTTACCAATCTTGACTTGCATTCTCTTCCAAAAGAGAGGTTTTGTGGAAGTATGGTTTATTTTCAAAGAATGTGACGTCAAGACTAACAATGACTTTTTTGGTGGAAGGATCATAACATTTGTATCCCTTCTGGGTAGGGGAGTATCCGAGGAGAACACATTTAATGGCTCGAGGTTCGAGTTTATTTCGGCGACTTGTGAGCATGAACAAAAGCTGTACACCCAAACACCCTGAGTGGTAGGTTCGAGTTGAGTTGAGAAGTTGGAAAGAATGGTTGAAATCTTTGGAGTGGTGATTCGAAGTTTAAAGTACAGCTAGACATTCGATTGATTAGGTAAGTGGCTGTTAAGATCGCGTCACCCCATAACCTTTTTGATATATTTGTAGTAAACATTAAAGCTCTATCAACTTCTAGGAGGTGTCTATTTTTTCGTTCTGCGATCCTGTTTTGTTGAGGGGTTTCAACACAAGAGTTTTGGTGGATTATCCCATGAATTCAAAGGAAATCCCCTAAATTTTTGTTGAAGTATTCAGTGTCATTATTTGTGCGTAGAATTTGAATGTGTATTTGAAATTGAGTTTGCATCATAGAGTGGAAATTTATAAGCATGGATCGCACATCAGATTTTTCTTTTAAGAGATACACCTAACAAAGTCGAGTGTGGTCATCAATAAACATGACGAACCACTTTGTTTGAGTTTGATTAGGGATGCGTGAGGGACATCAAACATCACTGTGTATCATAGTGAATGGTTTCAAAGGTTTATATATAGATTTTGGAAATTGGAAACGGGGTTCGATTATGTTTAGCAAGTTAACAAAATTCACATTGAAAATTGACTAGTCTTTTATTCAGGAAAATAGTAGGGAATACATGTCTCAAATAGTGAAAATTCAGATGTACCCAGGGACGGATCCAGCTGCTCGAGTGAGCTAGGGCGGAGCATGGAGCATTTATCAAACACCGCCCAATATAACGATATTGTTTACTAATATTTAATTAATTTATATTAAAAGAATCTTCAATCAATATATAAATGCACTAAAATGTAAAATAATATAAATATTAAAATATAACTCAGTACAACCCAAAATAATAAGGAATAAAAATATATTTTTTAAGTCATATACCTATTATCAAGTTTCAATTTTTTATGAATTTAGGCGAGACAAGATGAAGTTTATATGTAGTGGTTAATCGATAAGGACAAAAATTTTAAAACAATGAATTTTAGAGCAATTTTTGCCCCCAAAAAGAAAAGTATTTTTCAAACTCTTAGAAGAACAAAGAATTGATAAAACTTAACAATTTAAGTATATATTATGAAATAATAATTTCAATCAATAAATTTTTAAAGCTATTTTTACCCAAAAAAAGAAATCTTTTTTTCAAACTCTTAAAATAATAAAGATCATTAATTAAATTGTCCAAATTTGAATTTTACAAAATAAATTGATAAAATCTAATAATAAAAGTATATACTATGAAGTAATAATTTGAGTTAACAAATTTTTTTGAAGAAATTTTTTTAGAAACAAAAACTATTAATATAGAATTGTTTAATTATTATTTATTGTGTTAAAAAATTAAAAAGAAGAAGAGGAGGTGAAGGGAATCGAATGATTCGAATCCCATACCTCTGATATGATAAAAATGGAATTCCCAATTGAGATACAAAGTTATGTCAGTGTTAGTTAAAACAAAATAGTATACAATTATTTAACTATTATTTATTGTGTTTGAAAAATTAAAAGAAAAAGTGAAAAGGAGGGGAGTCGAACTGGGTACCTCTCACTTGCAAAACCAATGCCCCTACCAGATGAGCTATAATCATAATTGAGAATAATGGTACAATTTTACATATTTAGCATAATAACTTCATCAATATGAAATTCCTTTCCTGTCGGGTGCTGGCTCCACCCCTAGATGTACCATTCTGAAATGCCATAAGAAGATTTCATTATCACTAAAAGTAAATGTAGAATCGCAAACAGCAATTTGATGTTGATTACTTAGATCAACCTCGTCAAAGCTTAGCACTGCTAATCGTCTTCCGCAATGATAGGTCCTGAAAAACACAATGTGAAGGAAAAAATTTAGCAGTAAAATTCGAATTTTTTGTCAATTGGCTTATAGATAATAAATTAAAGGATAAATTAGGAACGTGAAGTACAGAGTTTTACATTATGGAGTTAGAAATCTGATTTCTCCCCTTTCTTGCGACAGGTGAGAGTGACCCGTCAGTAATCTTAACTTTGATGTTATCTGCACAAGTTGTATATGAGGAAAACATGTTGTGGGAGCCTATCATACGATCAAATGCTCCTGAGCCAATTATCCAAGGGTTTTTAAGTTTGGAGGTAGTATTTAAAGCTTTTAAAAAATTACCTATATGAGCAAGTGAGCTCGAAGGACCAATGTGAGAAGATTGATCGGATGTTGAAGGCTCGAGAAAATTTTCTAGAGTTGTTGTATCTGTTCAGAATTGAAGTTTGTGGTTTGATGATCAATTGAAGCTTGATAGCCTCGATTTTTAATATTCTGTCTTGGCTTCCAACCAGTCTGTTTTCCATGCAAATCCCAGCAAGTATCTTCTT